TAAATCAACGAAGTTAACATGTCAACGATGTGGGGGTTAACATGTCATACAATTTATGGTATATTATTTTATTATAAACGATATAGAATTAGCTTGTTCAAAAGAACATGTATGTTGAAACAATTAAAAACTCCTAACATATTAGATTTATTTTATATTGAATGAAGACTAAGACAATTTTGAAAAAAAAAAAAAAACTGTCTATTTTCAAAACTATCCTCTTGATTTTTGAAACATAACATTTGTAATTTGACTTAATTAAATTTCTTTAATTTGTGAAAATGAAAATGTTACAACCCGTTCTTGCGCAAATAAAATATTGACGATTTTATAATTAGATTAATTTTGTGTTATTTTTATATATTAAAAATATAAAAAGAATAGAATAAAAATATTGTATATTTTGATTATTAAATGAACTCTAATTTATTTTATTAAAAATAAAAACATCCGATTAAAACAATTATAGTAGCCGAGTTGATGTTAAAAGAGTTTCTGATTTTTTGTAAATACTAACTTAAATTTATATTATTAAGTTAGGCGTAATTTATTTTTTTAATAAAGTAAAATTTGCAACGTGGTTCAGAATTATATGTTAAAGAAAGTTTTTTTATAAAAAAAAAATGTGAAAATAAAAAAGGAACAACTTAATTTTGAGCAAAAATAAGTAACAAACTTCACTTAACAAACTCCACATTTAAATGCAACAATTAATGATGCACATTTGTATATAAAAAAATAAAATACAAACTTACTATTTATAGCATGCAATTAATGCTTAATCATATTTGACTATAGTTTGACTTGCCATTTTTAAAAAATGGTAATTCTTTTTATATATATATAGATTAGTTTAGTTATGACTTCCTACGTCATTTGGACTAATGTTTTATAAATTAGTAATACTCTCCTTCCTAATTATAATAAGTGTTATTTTACCCAAGAGCGCTTGGATGAGATGGCTTGGGTCTCTTCCAGCTTAACCAGTGGTCTCGTGTTCGAGCTCTGGGAATGCAGTAGTGTTAAAACTCTTGAGGGAGAGCTTTGCCGCCCTTGTGGTCCTACCCGGCTTGATTCCGGATTAGTCGGTTCCAATGTGGATCCGGAAACCGGAAGGTCCCTGTACCAAAAAAAAAAATAATAATAAGTGTTATTTTGAATAGTTGCACAATAATTAAGATTTTTTTTTCAATAATAATCCTCTCTAATCCTCCCTATATACCTATATATAATTCCCGAATGCGCTCAGCCTACGTGGCTATTTCTGGTGCTTTGGAATCCTGTTTTGCGAAGAATCATGCTTCGTAATTAGGTTTGGACAAATAATATTAATGTATTAATAATTAATAATCTAGGTTCGGGTATTCCATAAATATTATTTAACTAACTTAGGTATTTTAATATCACTTTTACTAATATAACCCTTTAATTCTTTGTAATTTTACATAGTGAGGCACTAAGTGACTAATATATCCCTAAATTTTGATTTGCTTCCTTCAATAAGTTATTGATTTATAAATGTATTTTAAAAGTAGATAACTTTTGTATTTCTTATCGGTTTTACATATATAATATATCAAATTAATCATCTTTTGATGATCTTCGATTTGACATCCATATTGTATATATAAAATAAATAAATTATATTTATCTTTATAATAATAAAAAATAATAATATTATTAAAATTTATTAGAAAAATAAAATTATTTCTCAATTGATATATTTATATTTAATGTAGTTATATATTGTAAGTTCAAAAATTTGTATAAAGGAGCTACTTGCATAAATTTTTAAATATAAAAGAGACAAAAAAAAAAATTGAATGAACAATAAATCGGTTTTATAATGAACCAACAAAACATAATAAATATATATATGAACTAAATTATTAATCAATGTGGAAATTTTATTAATCAACAAAACATATAATAATAAAACATAACAAAACATAATGTTTTAGGAGAACCGATAAACTAATGAACTAAGCAATATTTCCACAAATAAAAAGTATCATAATAAACATATAATAATATATATATTCTTATAAAAGGTATTTAATTTTCTAACTACTTTTTCTCATTAATTTTAAATTTTAAGAAAAAAATTAGCAAACACCCGTGTAATACACAAGCGTTATACTAGTGAAAATTAATAAAGTAAAAATTAAAAGTTGACATGAAAAAGCGTAGTGTATTTTTTAACTAAATGAGGGTAATAATAGAAAAATATGTAAAAAGAAAAATCCAAAACGGTCATTTATTTGGTTAATGGTTGATAAAACCAAAAGACATTTAAAAGGCATATGAGTTAGTATTATTTGGCATATGTTTTTAGAAAATTGAGCAAAAGAGTGATGATAAATAATGTATGAAAACCATTTTTGTTAATATTCAATCCTCCCCAGTTTTCAAACTGTCCTCATAAATAGGTATCGATTGGATTTACTCTATTATATGATCATCATTAAAGCTCGTCCTCGAACCTAACTCCCAACCTAGTTATCTCTATCACAAGTCTCATCCATTCAAAGAGCTCGCACTCATAATAATAGAGAAGGCTGAAGATGCCACATACTAGAAATTGCATGTTGCAGCACCACTAACCAATGACGACTTGCCCAACCCGACATCAGGATTGTTCAAAACAAGTGACCACCGAGCTCGAAATCCTTAATCATGGTGAATTTTTTTTATCTTTGAGCGTTAGCTTAACCCAACACTTAGGATTGTTCAAATCAAGCGACCACCGGCTCGAAAACTTTAATTATGGTAGATTTTTTATCCTCAAGCGCTTGTCGGCTCGATCCCCAACTTGGAAGCCTTGATCGTGGTGGATTTTTTGAAATGCCAATGTGACTTGCCACTGAGGTCACACCAAAACACACCAAGCATGATAACACAATAAAATAACAACATAGAACAACCACATATGTTTCCATTAATCAACAACAATAAGCCAAATTGCATGCCGGCTTGGGCATGGGCACGGGCCTGCCTGGGACTTGGGACTTGGTCTTTAGTACTTGGTACTTGGTACTTGACAATTGGACTATGATGACCTATGGCGGTCTGGGCCGGTCTTGGGCTAAGTGTTGGGCTTGGGCCGAGCCACATATATCTTTTTGTGCTGCAAATTTACTTGCAATTTTGGCACAAATTGAAATCCAAATCAAGTTGAATTTAGACTCGAGTTTTGACCCATCCAAATAAGACCTCTCCAGGTTCATTGAACCTAGACGTTTGACTCCACCATTCAGGTGTTGGAGTGTGGTTATAACACCTGACCGTTTCTACTCACTAACAACATAAATAAGTGTGCTACTCTTACTATCCTTAAGTGGCAGTTGGTTGTTATGTTTCCCTCTACAGCTAGAAGTCCTATAAATAAGACAGTGGTAGAGCATAGCAGAAGATACCCTTCGAAATCGCATTCGAGTTGTATTTCTACGTTTTCTGTTTTGTAGTTCCAATTGTACGAACTTAAAACACCATCTTCAGTTCATAAGTTCCCTTTGTATTTGGATATCACTTTTGTAACATATAGCAATCATATCTTTTAATTTTTATGAATTACAATATGTGATTTTACTAAGTCACTAGTCACTCCACATCAAATACACGTAACACAATTTGGAATCACAAACATAAATCCCCACGCAATCACATAAAATACAATTAATTAAATAATTCAATGTAATCAATACGTCACACATTAATCCTCCTCCTCCTCGACAGCTGGACCCTCAACCCGTCCCTCGCCTGCAGTATAATCGAGTCACGTGGTACCACCGCGTGCCCCTCCACCACCCGCACCTTGTAACGCCACAGTATGGCGGCCGCCACCATCTTCATCTGAACAAACGCCATCTCCTTACCCAAACACGTCCTTGGCCCCGCATTGAACGCCGGGAACCTATACGACGGCACGTGATTCACACCTCCCTTCCCCGAAACCCACCTCTCCGGCTTAAACTCCATGAAATCCTCACCCCACACGCCCTTCATCCTCCCCGTCGAGTAAAACGAAATAATCACCTTCGTATTTGTCTCCACATAATGACCGCTCGGGAGAAAATCCGGCCCGGCCGGAGCCTTGTGCTCCAGAGCAACCGGAGGGAACAACCTCAGCGACTCGCACAGAGCTCCGTGAAGATACACCAGCTTCTTCGACTCCTCTGCTCCGAAACGTCTCGAACTGCAGCCTCCCTGCTCGATTTCCTCCAAGATCCTGGCCTCGACCGACGGGTTTCGGCTTACGAGCCAGAAGAGCCACGTGAGGCACGTGCTCGTCGTGTCCCGGCCGGCGAACATCAGGCTCAAGGCCGTGTCCCG